TGATCCCCTGGTTGTCCCGGACATGCTTTTCTAGCTGTGTTTGAATTACTGTCATTTTTATATCCTCTGTGTTGAATGACTACAATTCTTCTCCTTTATTTATGGGTAAAAATAGACAGGCTAAGCAAGAGTTTAGGTGACAATGCCATATGGAACATGGAAGTCCCAAGTTCTCCCTTCTTCTAACTGCAGGACACATTTGCACACAGATACTACATACAGAGTTATTCAAAATAGCTGTTGAATTGTCTTTGAAAACCTTCACAGAAAGTGGGGCACCTCCCTCCTTTTAATCTTCCATGAATAAATAAGAGCCCATAACTTTGCAAAGGCTGCCCCATATTTATTGCACTATGAAAGGACCGGCAGCATCACATCTCAGGTCAGGGCTGATGGGAGGGACGGCTCTGAAGTCCGGCCCTTGGGCCAAGTTGCGCAAACATGTTCTGCTCCCCAACAGGGAAGGAGATTCGTGTCAGGAGCAGAGGAAGCACATACACCCGCTGCAGCAGAGAGCTGGTAATGCATGAATGGGAAATCCTTTCCACGTCCAAGCAGAGGTGGGAGGGGGGAAATCACAGCATTACCCAGGTAAAGAAACATGTACAAGATTGGTGCAAACATGCAGAATTAATACCAGGGTGGTACCAAATGTAACACTCCTGCACCATTTGTAATTTGTCCTGCCAACAAGGTAAAACATGGAGTAGCCGCTTCCACACTCCTTACTCTTTAATAAGACAAAGATGATCTCACAGCCTTGACAACTAAGCATTGCCTTCTTGCCCAGAGAAGATTTTGGTACAAGAAACCTATTAAATAATTAGACAGACTCAAAGAGCCCTGTTGCTTGTTCATTGGTCAAGCTAGAAAAAAAAGAAATACTTATGAAAAGACAGTTATAGACATGCCTCCTTCTGCTTCCCCCAGTAATCAACAAAGTGATTGCAAAATGTGTTCAGGACAAAAAGACAGATGACAGCTTTCTGCAGAGCCTGGGCTCCTCAGATGTAAATATCCTACCAATGTTCAGACTGACTAGGCAAGAAAATGAAAATAAGAAGTTCTTTCTATAATCGTTAGACAGTCAAAACCAACAACATTCCAATAAAGAGGAGAGTAAAATGGTTTTATCCCAAAGATTGATATGAATGTGAACATTAGATAAAATCAGGAATATCCAGTTAAGACGTGTAGTGACAATGCCTAGTGTCTACAGACATACCTTGCAGACCGTAAAGACAGCTTCACAACATGCTGTCACTTGTCTAGGAACGCCATGTCCCTTTTTAAGGATTATCTCAGGATCCCAAGCTGGGCCCTTTTTGAGGGTTTGTATTCTCTTTAAAAGGTTAATAGTGAAAATAAAGCTTCATACATGATGCCCTAAACAACCTTCAAAACTTTTATAATTTCTGAAGAGAGAGGCATCTTCAGAGCCAAACTCAGATCCAAGCTGGGTTACCTTCTGAAGGAACCTCTCTGTCCCCATTAACCACAGACAGGCAGTTTTATACCTGACCTTGGGGAGGCCAATGGATTGTCTTTAAGGATCATGAAAGATCACTAAAAAAAAAAAAGCAATGTATTGTCTATAGTGTACTCTTAAGCTCACTACATCAAATCAAGACATGGAAAACCACTGCTTAACAGAAGCCAAAGGTAGCTGGGGCCTAATTTAGTGCTTAAAGTTACTTGGGATGAAAACAGAGTCTCAGTGTCACGAAAAATGAGCAGTAAACTTAGTTTTCCCCTTGGGAGCATGAGCCCTGATGCTCACTGTTTCTGTGAGATGCTGTAGCAATACGAGGAGTGGTTTTGCAGTTGTTTCCTGTCAAACACTTTTGTTTTGAAAGCAAGGTGGTTTTAAGCTTATATAATAAATCAAGGTTGTACACTAAATCAGAAGACTGGATTTCAGGAAGTCCCACAACCAGCTAGAGTACCTCGAAACACGTCCAAGCTACCTTCTCCCCCTTCTCCTTTTCCTAATGCTTTTAATTTCTCATAATTCCTGGTGTAGAAACGTTCAGCTACTCATCTGCCAAATCCCACTGATGTCCATAGTAATCTGGCTGTTTCCCAGCAAGATGCTGAGTGTTAGAACAAGTAATTAAAAAAAAAAAAAAAGAAAACACACCAAAACCCCCACATTTTAACAAAGCCATATACAATAGGCCAGTTTCCAGGAGCAAGAAAGTATTTCAGAAATTATCAACATTAAATGATATTCTCTTCTAGGTAGTTTTAGCCATAATACGAGGCTGGGGGTCCCAGACACTTTTCCTGCCTTCCTGGAGAGAAAATATTAATTCCCAATTTTGTGCAAACCAAGTACCACTCTGCAGTTGTTTGAGTACTCCAGTTTGAGACCAAAAGAACCAGATGAATATGTAATATGACAGACAAGATTTCTGTGATATGCAGACCAGATTTCCCTTCCTCCCCCCCTTAATTCTACTGTCTTGTCTTTCAATACCCAGCTAATTTTGGCAGTCTATGTCAACATGATATTTAGAGAAAATCATAAAAAGGAGTTAGAAAGGGACTGTATCTAATCCATATGTAGATGGAAATAATTTTTTCTCTTATAAAAATCTGCAATTCTCTTAACAAGACCTTTCTTAAAGGTCTTTTCCAACTTAAACTATTCTATGATTCTATGAAATGTGCAATTCTTCCATGTGCAGAGAGAGTATAATTTATATCATATTTCTGCAAGAGATGTACATCGCCTTACCCAAACGCTATGGCCACTCTATCAGGTTTGCCAAACTTACAGGTTTCCCTCATATTAAGTGTGTGGGGATTGAATTACAAGCCCTTCCTCTATGCATTTGTTTCCAATTCTCCAAAGACATTTCCAGTTTATGACATTATTTTTGTGTTTTTCCTTTTTAACACTTCTTCAGATCAGCTGGTTTATTTTATCGTCCTTACTTGTGTATGCAACACTCCCCCTGGTCCTCTGAGGATTTCATCCAGTGTATGGTCATCCACTGTTGTGTAACTTTCTTGAACTCTTTTCAGCTGACATTTTTCATGACCCTTGTTTACAATCCAGAGTGACTTTTATTCTCTGGAGCAGCATAGGTGTTTCTAATGGATGGGTGTGGGAATTACCAATATTCCCCCCTCAACATAGCAGGTGATGAAGTATTTATAGACTTATATTTTACTTTAAAAATATCATAGTTTAAAAATAGAGACATTTGTACAGTCCCCAAAAGTTAGTTCCCCACTAACTCCTACCTAATTGTGACTGAGGTAAGATGCACAATTAAATTTGCAATGCATAATTAAATTAGAGCTGCTTAACAAGTCGTCATACAGCAGTTGAGCCCCAATATTGTCTATGAGCTCGATACCTGACAGCAGCAGGCACCGTTTGTTAGCTGTGTGGCTCTGACTGTAGCTGAGATGGAGGAAGAGGCTACCCACAGCTGCCCTTTCACTGCTTCTTTGCTCACATCTAGGGAGATAACAGCCAGGCATGTTCCTCACCCTCTCCTCTCCACACAACCCATGCTAAAAGCTAACCCGGGTCATAGCTGGGCGAGGGAGTGACTACACTCGCTGTTATGCTGACAAATTCTACAAGAGCACAAATATGTCATTCTGGCTCGGCTACAGCCAGACACATCTGCCTGTCACACATCTGCCTGCAGCTCTGAATTGTCTTGTCTTGCATTTGTTGCAGACTAAAACCACATGCAGACAAATAACACACACGCTTGCTAAGCCTAAAACCATCTAAGTAACTTCCTTTAGTCTTTTGGGATATTTCTGTCTTAAGAGATTTGGGGAATGACACTGATCACTTCAGCAAACAGCAATGACAGATTATAGTGTTCCCAAACCCCTTCCGATTTCCCCACCTCTATCATCCCACTCTTTCATGGAGTTAACTGGTCAGGGAGTTTTTAAACTATAGGTCCCTAAGCAATCAGTGCAATGAAATGTGCATGTACCTTGGCTGCTTGCACATAAAACTTATTAGCTTAATTTAAACCCACTTCTGTTGGCAAAGCAAGCCACCACAGCGTGCCTAACAGGGGAAAGTGCAGTAGAAGCAAGGAGACCTTCTTAGCTGTAGTAAAGCAGAATATTTTGAAGGAGGCCATTTCCTTGCCCAGAATAAGGATTCAGAGCTAGAGAAACAACCAAGTCCAACACTAATCTAAGAGAGGGCCTAGTTCAGCCACTGATGCTGTGCTCAAGGCAGAAATTAATTCACAAACTTCCACAGCCTCTGCAGCAAGTCAGGTAACAGCAATCGCTTGTGGACTTAAATAATAATTATGAAGTTGTGCCATGCTACGCTGACAGAACATTAATACTAAAACTGCCACAAGAACATTACTAGGATGAAAACCTGAGAAACCCATAATGAAAAGGAAACATTATGCCACGGTGACGAAAATATAGTAATTCATGTTAAACTGCTGCCTAAAGTGAGGATTTTTTTCCTAGCCACATCTAATTTATACTTATCAACACAAACACCTTTCCATAATCAATGGCTTTATTATTCTGAAAAGCAAAAGCCAACTCAAAATGTTACATTAAATTGATAGACACAGGGCCAGCCAGTGGGGGAGATTAGGTACAAATTGTTCACAGATGTATTTTTTTAATTATTATTTTGGCTATGTTCCACAGCACAGAGGGAGGGGAGGAGAGGGAGGAGGGAAGGAGTAGGAGGGAATCTGAAACTTACTGGTTGACCTCCCCACCATCTGTGATTGAATTTCTCTCGCCCTCGAAGACTGAAGCTGGCATCAAACACTGGGTCATACATCGAATTGCCAACGATTCCATGTGATTCAGGATAGAGTCCCTTTGTACAGAAGAAGATTAATTAGTAAAACCCTAATGCACACAAATCCAGCTCTTCACGGCTATCTGCAAATACCACTAAATTATTTTAAAATAGGTATCTTTGTAACTGCACACCAGAAAAGTTTGTAACTTTAAGATAAGCAGATTTAAAACCGGCTGTAGTAATGAAAGCAGTAGGATGATTGAATTGTGCTAAAAAGCACAAAAACTCCTGTTACCTGATACTTTAAAGTATTTTCACACTGGTTAAAAGTTAGTTTGAGGCCATCTAAAGTAAGCAAAAATTTATGAAAAGAAGATTGATTTGAACTTTCAGTTCCTCTTCATGAATTCCCTTTCTGGAAACAGTAATTCATTCTCTGGTTGCAAGAGTAACACGTAGCATTTCCATTTTATAATGTTTTCTCTTCACAGAGCCGCTGTGAGATAAGAGTTATTTCCAAGAAAAAAACGAAGCAAGTCACCCAAAGCCATGGCTTTATATCACAATTTGTCCAGCAGTAAAGGCAATTTAAGAGGTTTCTGCTCTTCTCCCTTTCTCTTGGCCCTCTCCCATCCCCAGCTATTTGTTTCTTCATCTCCTCCTTTCTCTTCCCATTTAACATTTGTGCAGAGGCTGCAGGAAAAAAGGAAGGGGAAAAAAATGCAGCTGCAGGCAGGAAGTCCCTCAGCTCAGCTTTGGGAGCACTGGCACTGTCACACAGGAGCGTTTGCATCCCACGGTGGGGACAGCCTGGCCACCAGCTGTGCCACCAGAGTGCAGAAGTGACGGTTTGTTTTACTGCAGGACCAACTCAGCATCCAGACACACTCAGCAGCTGTAAACTGTAAGTCGGCTGCTAAGTCAGCCCCGCTGACTTCAGCTACTCCAATGAAGGAACAACTGCTGGTTGTATTCTGGGTAGGATTTCAGGGGTGGTTTTTTCCCCTTTAGAAAAACTGTGACCTCTAATTACACAGCAGTACAAATAGCTGCAAAAGCAGGCATAAGAAAGCACAGGAAAGCTGTAACACAGTGTATGATAGTGTGATACACTTTATCTTAGAACTTCAAAATACTGAAGAAAATATTTAACATAACTGAAGGCCGAAAAGGATGGACAGAGAAGTAGTTTATAAAAAAAAAAATCTTGCTTCCCACAACTGCAATGCAACATTTTATCATCAAAAAGTCCTTCCCAGGGACTTACAGTAGCAAGGGTGTACAAGTTGGGGAAGGTTTTTGTAGGGTAGACAGGTCTCATGTAAGGAGAATGTGTTCCACAAGATCCTGAAAAATCAATAGGGAAGGCAAACATTAGGAAGTGAAGCTCTCAGACATGGAAAACAAAATCAGAGGAAGTCAATTGCTGTGACTCAAAATGCTGCAGAAACTGGTTAAATTTTAACCAATTTAAATGAACATTCTGCTGCTTAACATTGGCAGGTCTTCTCGTGAGACAGTAATAAATCCACTCACACACTCTTTGTACTTCACAATAAACAACTGAAATAATGCAGCCAGAGGACTACAGAACCAGCTACATTTCCATAGACTGTTTTCCTTTCTGAGCTAGCCTCCTTCCAGAGTCCAGAATCATTGGAATTATCTTGCTAAGTAAAACAACATGAGAAAACACAGGCTAATTTTGAGTGACATACTAAAGCTACAGTTTCACAACGGGCTTTGGCCACAGCTCCCCAGATCGCCACACAAATATGAGGGTCAGCACACACACAGGAAAAAAAAAAAACAAACCAAACACCTTTCAAGGGCATGGGCACACATACAAACTACCATGCTATACTGAGAAGCTCAAATATGCTTTGCATCTAGTACTCCACAAACCCAGGTGGATGCCTGCTCCCTCAGAAGTGAGTGCAGGGCTGCTCATCACCGGGGCATGTCCCCAGCCAGTCATCACCCATTCACTGCAGTGTCTGCACCCCCTTACCCATATCTTCAGCATTTCTGAATCAAGTGGAAAATTTTGTGGGCACGTCCCAACTAGCCTATAAGATTGCATGATACATATCATGTACTGAAGATGCATTTCTTTCTTGACAAAACTATATGAAGGCCACCAATTCCGAGCAGCGCTCCCCAAAGCAGCAGCTCTCTCCCCACTCTCTGATTGCTATGCTCCGCTTTAGCCAGGGTGCTTTCAAGCCACCAGTTGATACCATCTAAACCAAAGGGGACTTCTGCCATTTCACTTTTATGGAAAAAGACTTAATCTTTGTTAGGTCTTTCAGTCAGAGGAACCCTGTATTTGGCGCAGCCCTTCTACCCACCAGCTCCACAGTGACTTCTATTGCTCAATGGAAAATGAAAACAACCGGGATGCAAGAGATTGTCTTTCGTTTATTGTAGGAAAACAGATGTACTCACTCAGTTTTTCAATATTGGGCATGACCTTGTTCCCTTTCTTCATATATGATGCACGGAAACCATCAACAGAGAAGATGATCAAAGGAGGACGAACAAAGCTAAAAGCAAAAGCAGTGGGAGTGTAAGACATAATTTCAAAAAAAATTTTTTTTTTATTTGCTTGCCCACTGAGACTCCAGAGAATCTGAAGTACAGTTACTGCATATGCTATATGTCTATAATTTTTTTGCTTACTTAACAGATCAGCACAAACTGATAATCTTCACGCTTAGTAACATCCAGTGTTCAGTCACAATCAGTGAAAGGGCTGAGCTCCAACATAAAAGCATCTTCCCTGAGCAGCTAAAAGCATATAGCCCCAAAAGGCAAGTGCTTATAGAAGGAGATGGAGAAGGAAAAAAAATAGTATGCATGAGTACCCACCCTAGCATACAATCTGTAGTTAAAAACCACGTCTCATGACAGTTGGTCTTCTTTCTTCACAAAAAAAAGTCCATGGGGCATTTTGAGTGAGCTCTGTGAGGCAGAGCTCATTCTCACATATTAAAGATGACAGTATTTAATGTTATTTTATTACATTTTTATTTACTACTGCTACTGGGAGTTGACCCTAAGCAGGCAGAGATGTGCCCTGAACAGACACACCTGAGCTTTTAATGTTAGTCACCTGCTGCAGGGGTAAGTAGCCATCACTGTCACCAGGAGAAACAGGGATTCCTATCTCCTTCCAAACTATCCTTCTAATGGCACAGACTGAGCTGCAACCCAATGCAGCACCTGAGCAGACACTTACCTTTAAGGATAATGGTGAGCCAACTGGTTTCAAAAGTGCTTACTTTCTTAATGTTATTCATGTGCTCAAATACCTCACTAAGTCAAGCCTGTATCCCATTGCAGTTTAGAAATCCTTTCATTTAGGAAGAAAACACTAAAATGACAAAATTCAATTAAAAAAAAAATGTCCTGAACTGTGTTCATATATGGCTCAACCTGAATTTTACTGAAATCAGAAAAACCTAAACCTTTCCACTGACTTCAAGGGAGTTTGGTTACCTTCCCTATGCCAGTAAGTGAAGCAGGCAAACCCATCAGATCAAAGACTAAGAGTTCAAGCCCACATACCATACACTACTACTCACCCAGCAGCTCCAAGATAAATGCATTACAATATTATCAGCCTAATTGTACAAATGGTGAAGCACAGGAAAGCATCCAGCCCACAGCCATTCAGCCTGCATGACAGGACCAGTGCAGAAATGCGGTGTTCAGAGGTCCAGGGCAAAGCAGGGGACCATTGGCCTTCCTGAATTTGATTTTCCAGTTGCGTGCAAAACACTTACCCTGGTGGACATTCAGGAGCCTTTATCTCTTCACAGTCATCATCCACCCAGTGGGTTTCTCCTACCAGAAAAGTCACATTGGATTTTCAAAAAAAAAATCTGTGGACACAGCTACAGATTTCACAGAAAATGACAAAAAAATAAAGTCTGGCTTCAGTTAATGCACTGTCTTGTCATACTTCCCATGAATAATGAGCAGGTCTTTTCACAAAGCTGAACAAAGGATCTGGTTATATTCTATTCAACAAGAATATCCAAACTAGCACTCCTAGAAGTAGCTGTTAAAACTGGAGTTAAAAGTGTCCTTTTGACCACAGGAGACAGTGGTAACGCTTTAGGCACAGTGGTCATCTATTTTAATTTTTTTATTTTTGATCTGTCAAAAACAGGTAGTGCTGCTTCTGGCTGTGAATTCCCACCCTCCTCCTCACCAGCTCTGATGTCTCCATGAGCTGATTCAGCTGGCTAAAAACACAAAACAAAATTCATTCTGGTGAAGAAAAACAACCCTAAATAGTTTCCAGCTGGTTTAGAAAGCTGATCAGCTCATGGATCAGGTGAGAGTCAGACACAGCTAAAAAAAGCATTAATACTCTTTCAGAGCTAGATTAGTTAAAATTGCTTTATGTAATCAACTATTTTCTTAAGGTTTTCACTGCTGAATGCTGACTATAGAGTGGCTTATAACTTGCACTTTCACAGGTCAATTGAAAAACAAATTATTAGCTAATGTGGCTCGCTTCCTGAACCTGGCACTATTAAAGGAACTGCAGTTCAATTAAAAGAACAAAACAAAAAGCACCATAGAAAAGATCTGCAGGAAATGTGTCCTGCAGCAATTCCAACTGACCATGACAGGAGGTGGAGGGACAATTTCCAACGAAAAAAAAAAACAACACACTATCCACAGATAGGCAAAGGCACAAATAAAGAGGAAACACTGTTCTCACATAAGGCTGACGCCTGTCAGAATGCCAGGGTCATTGAGATCATTTGTTATTAGCCAATTAAACAAAGATTATGTACATTGAAGCTGGAGACATGTAAATTCCTCTGTCTTGACCCTTGTAAGAGGGAGCTCACAAAAAAGGCAGGAACTGAAAACTATACCAGTATTTAAGCAGTCTCAGCCTTGGGTTTCTTTGGGAAGGGGAAGAACATAGTCTATGGGCACTTGCTGGAAGATAAATATTTCATTTGGATTCCCAACAGCAAAACTCAAGTAAAGAAGAAAAGAAGTAAAGAAAGTATGGATCTGGACTATTACCATTTTCTGAACATATGCAGTTGGCCAAAATGGTGCAGAAGAAAAAATTTTGAACTGTAACCCTTCCACCAGTAAAGTTAATGAATGAAAAAACTAAGAACTAGTTGAGATACAAAAGTGAGAACCTGTAAAGTTCATTACCAAGGATCAGAAGACCTGCTCAAATGGGAGACACATTACACAAGGCAGGACATGCTCCAAGAGATCGGGGTAGAGGATGAAAATTAAGCCTTCACAGCCCATCCACACACCAAGCAGTGCAGGCCATACTGCAGCCATGGTGTGTCTAGAAGGTGGCATGGTCATCCCCAATGTGTCATCTGAAGCCTGTGCCACCCATCTGTGAAATACAGCCCTTGTATTCTTGCAACCCCTCTCCCACAAGAAACAAAGCCTACAGGTGTTAGGCCAAGTAGTTTGAGCAGGAGCTTTTGTGGTGGGGTTGGGGAGAGGTCTTTGAGGTGCAGATAACATATCTAGGAATGTTCCATTCCTTCTGAGACGATCAGATATCCCTGCTTTCCCTGTGGTGCAGACAAATGCATCTTAACACTTTGTGTTTTGCTTTAAACTCTTCTTTATCCAGCCACGCCTCTTCTCTTTCTATCAGTATCTCTACAGGCAAAGACAACATCCTTCTACTATCAACAAATTAGAAGTATTAACCTCTGCTAGTGCCCAAAAAATTACAAGTATAACTCCCCATTTTTCCCCCCCTCCTCCCAAAAATCAGAACTAAACAAGGAGAGGGTTCCTTCTTTAGAAGAAAATTCTATACCCACAGGGCTGTCTTCTATCAGGGTTGGAAAGATAAGAGGTAGAAAGACCAAAGTCGTACCTTTGCAAATGACTTGGTAATTAGTACAACAATCTCCTCTACTTAAGCAGTCTTCAGAGCAGTGACAAGCATTGTCATCATTCCTGGTTTCTCCACAGCGATCTTTGGTACATTCCCAGCCCCGAGCTAAAATATTCACAAGGTAAGCAAGCATGAGAGATTATAATCAAAACAAAAAGTATTCACTCAAGCCATAATGACAACGCTCCAGTCGTTAAAGTTGGATGTAAAGTTTATGGCTCTATTTTAGTGATTTCAAGACCTCTGAACTAGGCATGTAAACCAGAAACAAAAAGGCCCCTGGTGTCCTGCAGGTGCACCCACACACAAGTGCTTCTGCTACCCTTAGGTGTTGTACTTCAGGCTTTGTACAACCTGAATGCCAAAAAAAGTGTGGAAAGGAGAAGACAAGAAAGGATCTTGAAAGACAAACGGTGGAGCCTGGAGCACAAACTGGTGTTTCTTGGGTAGTCCCTAGTTCAATCCATGGGAAATAAGAGAAAGTTGAAAAGAGACTATGTAGATACAAATTGATGCTTTACTCCCATCAGTTCCTCACCCAGGTGATTCAGCACTAGTGGCAAAGTTATGAGAACAAGAGCTGCTCTTCAAGGAAAAGCATGGTACAGCTGCTGTAAAACACTCCAGCTCTTCTCATCTTGCGAATGAACTTAGGATCTAAGGGCTTGTCTAAATTAGGTGCTCTCTCAAGGGCAGTACATTGCTACACTTTGGAATAGGGCCTAAGGATGTAAGCAGGTGGTTTTCCACTTCCTGGCCCAACAAACAAGAAACTTTAAAAATCATTTTAGACAATATGCACCCAGTAAAAAACACACCACATCAGAGCAATGTCTTTTACCCTCTTTTCTCCTTCATTTGGGGCTTTTTTTCTATAAATAAGTAATATTTACAGATGGTACATGTGATAATTGTCTTAATAAATGCCTATGGGAGTATATGACAATTCACACAACAGTCCCAAGGGCTATGCAGGTATCCATACACATATGTGGACATGGTGCGCTGCGGACAGGAGGCTGAGGAACCGAAAATCTTCCCTTTGGTAGCAAAGATCTTGTTTTGTGCTAGAAATCTTCAAAAAAAGCCTCTCATTCTGCAGTCATTTACACTAGGGGCCAGTCATTTACACTAGGGGCAAAATTCAGAAGTTTTTGGCCTGGAACCGAAGTAGTTTTTTATACTGGATTAGCTCATCGTTTTTTTGTACCAAGCTATTAAAATGATATCATTATAAACAGAACTGAGGAAGTCAGGACTCTCAAGCATGGCACATCCATGGGCAATGATATTTTTAATCCTTAGACTTCTCTTCTGGCTGCTTAGTAAGTGTAATTCTTTGATAAAGCAAGAAAATGTTTAATGGCAAAAGTAGAAGGCACCTGTGTCAACTCTGACCACTGTGCAAACACTCAAGGAGATGGGTACAATTAATAATTTAAATGCACTATGCTAAGAAGTAAAACATAACTCATGGCCCTCTTTGAAGTTTTCCTTGCCTATGACTCATGAAAAAAACAAAAAGAAAATGAACCCAGAGCTGTATTTCCATCCCCCAGGGTCCAATGAATTGAAGTCAAACATTTTTACCAGTGTGTTATATGCATCCTGACATCTGGAAATTGGAGTCTGGGGCAAGGGTAACAAGCCCAGCCTGTCACCTGCAGCTCACTCCTAGAGAACCTGTGCCACTTCAACGCTCCCAGCTTCAGAGGCGCCTTCACGAGTAACCGTAATGCACAGTCCACAAGCAAGCATGAATTGCTCCAATATTAAGTTATCACTTGGGAGAAAAAAGGAATGACCAACCTCCAGCCTTTACCATGGCACTTTTCATTGTAACCTGGAGGTCAAACTGGTGCCTGAACGCTGATTATTGCTTTTAGTTGAGTATCAGAAGATCTACTTTTCACGTAGTATGAATAGTACCCTGCTTTTTCTGCCCTGGAAACCATGGCTGAAGCCCAGCAGTGAGGAGCAATAGGTGCGCATCCCTACAGTTCCTCGCAAGGAAACATGGGCTGCATTTTGGGCTGAGCCGAGCCTGCCTGGCAAATTGAAGTGCAGAGGAGATGCAGGTTATGGCAGGGAGCTCTGGTTTACTGTGACAGGTTCCGACTGCTGGCATAAGCCAGGCATCAGCAGCACCTGGCAGTGCGGGACAGGAGACCCATCGTACCTGTCTTTAAGCACAGCTCATCGAAGTCGAAGCAGCAGCTGTTGTAGCTCTTGCACAGGTTGTCACAGCGGCAGCCAGGAGGCTCTGCCTCTTGAAGTTCAAAGCATCTGTTTTTGCAGGAGCCAGAGGTACTGATCCAGGGGGAATCTGACAGGACTGTGTGGAACAAGAAACAGGGCAACATCTGTCAGGCCGGCAGTGGTGGGATGGGCGGCTCAGCCCTGAGCCACTCGGATGACCAAAACCTCGGCTGCCTGCTAAGGGGAAGGGAAGGGAGCAGGGACAGGAGAAGGGTGGCAAACAAACAAACAAAAAGAACAAATTCCAAAAAGGTTGCTCTTTTTGTGGAGAAAAAAAATTAAAAAGGGAAAAAAAAAAAAAAAGGAGGAAGCAGGGTGCTGTGATAATGTCCTGCAAAGAAACAGCCCTGGCTTTACCTCTGTAACAATCAAGAGATCATTAGCAGAAATGTATTGAAGTCTCCAAGGCCCCATTCCAGGAGCTGCAGCAATTCCTCAGAAGCAGGCCTTTGTTTTCAGAAACCAAGTGACATTTTCATGGCTGGCTGGGCAGTTTACATAGGAAAGGACTGCAATTAGTCTACATGCAGTCAGCAGGACTTGGTTTGCTATACTGGAAGGCGCCAAATCAATGTCAAGTGTGAAAGAAAACGGTAAGATGCTCTATAAATTAATGGAGAGACAAAGCAAGGCCTTTTGGTGGGCTTCTGCAGAGCATTAAATTATAAAAACTTAATAAAATACAAAAGTGTGTAAGAAATCAATATATTTGATGTGTATAACTAGATGCAGGATTGCCAGTCTGAAAACCATGAATAATGTATTAGACTTCAATAATCTATTTATTAGTAAGGGCCCTTACTGTCAAAGCTGATATGTACTTCTCTGCTTTTTTCTCAAAACTTAGTATTTTATACAATTTATATATTTTATACATTTTATACATTTTTCCTATAAGAGAATCATACACAGCAGCTTATATGAAGCAGAAAAATTGTCTGCTACTCTCCAGGGTTAATCGTATTTTATGAAATAAAATAATGAATGTATGTTATTCTTTAAAAACAGAGGTGTTCCAAGGAAAATTTCACAATGCCTTCTGGTCCATGAGAGACCTATTAAAATTAAGGCTTTGAAATTGTCTTGCGGTTTGTTTTCTTTTAGACCATGGTTTGGTTTTGGTTTTGGCAAACCTCACCATGATTAGCAGTATGATCTTAAGAGGACTGATGCAATGGCACTTTTGGGAAACAGTTGCTCTGATCTTTTCTTATAGATTTTTTCCCTACTCTTTTATATAGCTGAAAGTTTAGTCTCCAATAAACTGAGGGAAAATCTTTTCCCTAACAAGATGGCATTACACCAACACTGTGAGAATGAATGGAAAAGAAGATGAAGGGGGAGTTTGGAGGTGACATTGTAGTAGCTGATGTCACACCAGCTCCCATCCCCAGCACTACTGGTCCACCGCTTGCCTTGAAGTGGCACTGGCACTGGTTGGACACGAGCATAAACCGATTCCGGGAGCAAACCTGGCAGCAAATCAACCCTACAGCAAGATAATGGATAAGAAAACCAAACCTACCATGGCTGCAGTCATGGATCATGGCAGTGGCAAGGCACATTCATACAACTGCTGGAAAAGGTAGTAGTAGACAACTATGTCCCTCTTTGCTTTTGTGGTTTTTTCAATCAATCAGGTCAGTAATGATCAGAGCAAGTAATGTCATACACACAGTGAAGTTTCACTCTATAAGGTACATAACCTGTAAGGATGCTCATAATGAGCCATCAATATTTTGGCGATCTGAAGTTCCAAGAAGCTAAAGGTGTATCTATGCTGGCAACACACAGATCAGTATTTTCTTTGCTCACATAAATAGGCCACAAAGCTATGTTAGAAATTAATCACATGAGAATTGTTTTAAAGCATGCTAACCCTCAGATTTTCAGAGATATGAAGTCTTGTTCCTTATTCTTAGTGACAGCTGCTTCCTGCCAAAAGTTTCTGAAAATCTGTTACTAAAGAATATTTTCATGTTATTTAACCTTTTCTACTACTTTCCTTTTTGGAAGCTAGGTAATATATAATCACAGACCCAGTAAGCTGCAAATCAAAGGTATTATGGATTCAAAGGTATTACATACCAGCATACGCTATATATTCCTTACACTGGCATTGCCCTTTTCATTTCAAAGGGATAAGAGGGAGAGCATTTCCGAAGGTCAAAAAACACATGTCAACATGCGTTTAGGAAAGAGAAGGTGTAAATCTGACTGCAGATTACATAAGGGACAGAGTCAACTGCAGCTCAAGCTGTTGTAAAGAGCAGCTCATTTATCAGGAAACCACTGGAACAAATTGCCCACAGAGGCTGTGCAATCTCTCATCTTGAAGATTTTGAAGAACAGGTTAGACCAAGATCTGTCAGGAGCGCTTCAGTAATAACTGACCATGTCTTGGGATACAGAGAGATATCCCCTCTAGCTCCATCTTCTATAGCTGCAAGTAGGGTTTCCATTTCACATAAAAAAGGTTTAGCCCAGCTACCTTGTCAGTTATTTTTTCACATCTGTTGACAACCGCTTTATTACTGATGTGACAAATTATCCCCAATTAGCAAATTCAAGTCACACCTCCTGAGTCAATGTAGGACACTTTCTATATAGCAACGCAAAAGAGGACTTAGTTTAATTTCCCTGATCTCTGAATACATTAAGATCGTTCCTTTGTTTATGACGCTTGACCTTGCCTTTGCAGCCAAACCATGATTTTGAGGTCGTACACAATGCCATGGCATGGGTACTGGTGCATGCAGAATAGTTTGAAAATATATCATCAGGAGCTCCATCTCTGGTGAGTATTTTCAAATTAACAGAAGCCCCTGTACAGAACAAACTTAGACAATTTCAAAATCTTTTTCAAAATTCCTGCATCCCTCCACAACTCCTGCAATCAGACCATGCAAGCAGGCAGAGGGGCCTCAACAAGAAGATCCTCCCTCCTTATTTAATACATAAAGTTTTTCACATCTTTTTCCATGCATTCTTTTTTTTTGGCTAACTAAGTTCAAAACAACCATCTAAGGATTGTCTCTTATGTCATAGGTTAGAGAGAGAAGTTACATAGGGCCTTCCTGATTCAGTCCATGGAGGTTATTACATTTCCATTGTAAATGTGTTGTAAATGTATGGCACCTTGGGAAGTGCCATATAAAACTATTTGCTCTGATTCTATCTGATTACAATATTAAAAAAAAAAAAAAAATCCATTTACTTTGAGTAGTATTTCAATCATAAGACTACACAATATATACACAGTCTTTACAGGAAGGAAACTACCTGGTAAGAATTTGCCATTTTGAATTCCATAGATCCTATATGGAACCTGTATGGATCAACTAAATACCTATACAAAACATCTGGAAACACCACTTTTGCTAGAAAATATTCATATTATGAACTTGCATTTCATTTTGCAGAATGCCATTGCAATGAATAAAATTTCCATGAAAAGTCACATAAATTAAAAAATACCTCCTAACTATTACAATACAAGAAAGAGATGACTCCATTTTTAATGACATGCTTAAAAATTCAGTGAGAAGGGATAGAAAAACTTCAGAGTTTCTCCTTCCAAAATTTAAGATATCATCCTATCACGACCAAAGGACATGCTTCAAGAGACTACTAAGGCCATTTTCCCTGAAAGTGCTTACAAAGATGTCTAGAAAGCTCATAAAGCAAGTAACTTACAAAGGCAAAGTTATGAAAAAATGGGAGCCTTGGTTCTCTAACGGTTTTTAGAAATTTTAAGTAAAAAAATTATTTCAATGAAATAATTTGTTGAGTACAAATATTAAACATCTCAAATGTATAAAGGGATATATATATTTGTACACTGTAAAAAGAGAAGAAGGAGGGGGTTAGGCATTATGGTACTTCTCTGACATGCATTTATAAGGGACTAGGAAAAAACCTATGTTTTTGACTCGCAGATGAGTTCTATGCTAGATGAAAACTGAAATTTGCTTACAATCACGGCATACCCCTGGAGAAATAACAAATCGGTCATATACAGTAATGGTTGGTAAAGAGAAAGTGCTTTGTCAATACAAAATAATTAACTCTAAACACCAAGAAACTTGGCAATAAATAAGCCAAAGCAGAGTGGAGTTGAAAAAGAATTTAAAACAACCTTTTATTCTGGATAGTTCATTGCACTGGGCTTCTGAAGAAGTACAACTGGATGTCATGCAACTATGAGAGCTTAAATAGGTTCTTTCACCACAGTGTTTTAATTTTAATAAGAAAAACACCTCTCCGGTGTAACCTTTTACTTTCTCCTTTAGACAGATGTGACTGTAATACTTTATTCTTTGCTATCACATCCTTTTTCTTTACTGCAATAAAAGTAACCAAGCTGCGTAAACACAGAAGGGACAAAACCCTCCATTACTTTTCTGTCTCTCATTGTTGCACCCTGGACTGGACTACTTCAGTGCCAAGTGCTGGTCCAATCCCACCTGTAAGCAAATTTTCATTAGACTGCCAAAAGTACCCTACCTCCTGCCCTCTTGCAAGAGATCCTGTATTTCTTCCTATTTTCCTGGAATGCTGAGCTAAACCTCCTGCTATTGGAAACAGCCCGCAGTTACTGATCCCAGCCCTGGCGGCGTTGAACAGTGCTGGTTGGCTCAGCAGAGTTGGCACTGATGAGCTGCGGTGGGTCCCCAATACCAGACCTTTAGGACTTCAGTAAAAATCAACTGAGCAGCCCTGCCATAAAGCCTAGATGGTCACCAGCAAAAGCAAATCAACTGGCAGTCAGGTGTTGAAGACATGAAATGCAAATCCTTCATGTTACTATTACACACACTACCAACTGCTCTACAGTTAAAGTACTAGAAGATAAAAATAGAAATAAAATTGTTTTTCAAGAAAATTTTTTTTACTGTTATATAAAGATCAAAGCAACAGCCATTATCTTTCCGGTTACCTAAAATGCCTCTGCTCAGTGATCAGCAGCCCTGATTGTGGCTGTGATTAGACACCAACTCCTGTGAAAGGTGGGGGAGAGAGGGACACAGATTCATTACCAGGAAAACAACAAACTCAGGACACAGTAAACAATTTTATAATTAAAATTCACAAGCTATCATTACAGACAGGTATTGCAAATGAAACCCTTTCACTTCAGTTGTATTAACCAGCTCTAAGTGAATGACCACTGGTTTCCTTTCTCCTGCCAAAGGAAGGAACAGAGACACAAGTCAAGCCTACTTTTTTTTAAAAAAAGAAAAAAAGCCTAGTTTTCCATTTTATATATTTTTCCACTTGGACTATGCCTGAGCTCACAAAACCCTATACTGCCCCAGAATACAAACAACAGTCCCTTCTGTGGCGTGTTCTTGCTTTCCTCCAAAGAAAAAAGTAGGAGGCGAAAGAAAAACAGACGACTCGGTGACAGCACATCTGTGCGAACACCTGCTCTCCTCTCCCTGGCCCTCTCCGCCGTCAGATGTCTGCCGTCTACTGTTCACAAACCAGCATGACCTCAGGAGCCACAGAAATCCCAAAAGCTTTTCTCGCCCGCGCCTCTTGAAAGCATTAATCAAGTTTCTAGAAACCGCTCCAATAGCTACCAAAATAAAACCAGTACCCTTAAACCCACTGGGGCATTTCTCTTAGTTGTAGAAGGAAACTGTGCAGAGCACAAGACATGGCAAATGCCCTGTAGGAGCTGATGAGAGAGGTCTCTGTGAGACTGACAGTGCTCAGTCCTAAAATAAGCTAGATTTTCCATAGTCACATGCACACAGAGCAAAAGTTTAAGTAAATAGGAGACCTATAGGTGAGTCCCAAAGGTCAACTGACTCAGGCTCGGCAAGTTATTTATTCTTTTCTACATCCTAGAGGGAAAAGGAACAAGCAAACTACTGTTTCGGAGTAGGAGTGGTTTCTAACCACAGTATATAACATAAGGGTATTGCGATGTATAATTTATGTCTGTTACTGTACCTGAGACGGGGCCCTCATCCCATTCTTCAGATCTCCTAAATCGATTTGTTGTAAATCCCATGCAGACATTTACTCCAAAGGCAAAAGCAAATAAAGATATAACCTGCAAAAGTAAAACAGCAAAGTGAGCAAACTGTGTAAAAAGCAGGACTTGGGAGCTAAGCGCATTACGAATAAAGGGGCAGAGATGGTCCTCTGTACATTCAAGCTCCCCAGCACTGCAGTTCCCATCACTGGAGCAGCAGCTGACAGCGTCACCGTTGGAGCGTAACACAAACCAGAAGGGGTTTATGAATAAAACATCTCTTTCCGAAGCTGAAACACTCCTTTTTGTAGGAACTTATTCAGGAGAGACGGGCTACTCCTCCTCTAAAAGCAAACACGCTCCTCTCCTCCCCTACCTGGTGCGAGTGGACGCAGCCCTTCTTAGCCATACTAGAGAATTCTTGAAAAGCCTGCGCGGCACCGTCGCCTTTTCTTTATAGTGAGCGCAGAGCTCTGTTTGCTCTGGGAGTTTGGGCTATTAGCTACAAGTAATCCCACCTGGTGAGGTTGACAGGCTCGTGTGATTTGTCCAGGGGGTGATTTCATCATGTTTCACTCACAAATCGCAGCTCCGAGTGCAAGAAGCTCCAGGCATCATCCCTCACTGCGCCCTCCCCCCAAACACACACACGCACGCTTTTATGTGGTTTCCTCTGGCAAAGCAGGGCTTTCTTATGTTGCTGCGGCCAATAGCTGTTCCTGCTCATTTTATTCTCCTCGCAAAAGTAACATGGTTAAAAGAGAAACCAAATGCGTCTCCATCTGGCTCCGAGAAGAAGCGGGGGAAGCTCACTCGGGGCTGCAAAATGAAAATATCCCGATGCCACCCTCAAATGTCACCCAACATCGCTGCGTGGTGGGCTTGGTGCACGGGGCGAGCACGCTGCCACAGCTGCTGACCTTGCGACGGCCGGGTGGGTTTTGGGAGCTCAGACACCCGTCTTGTTCTCCAAGGGTGCTGCTGAAGTTTCTAACTGGGTCATGGAGCAGAGTCCCCCGAAGCTGGGGACGCCTTCAGAGCGGGGGTATTTTTTTAAACGCTGTTCTCCCACGCTGCTGTGTCGGTGCGAGGCTCAGATCGATGGAAACGCAAGCCGTTTTATCTGAATAGCTGGAAACCGCAGACTTCCAGAAAGGAAGGGAAGTGACATGTTCCCTCTGCCCCACATTTTCCCATTTTCATCAACAACAACGGAAAGCTCGGCTGTTTGGATAAGCACTTCTATTTACAAAGCAAATGATAATGCTGAGCAGAATTACGGTTCAAATCAGTGGCTTAAATATTATTTGCCAAGGCAAATTATTTACCAGTGTAGTTTGCCATTTTTTTCTCTGATGAAAGCTTCTTTCATTAAGATGTTTACTAACAATTACATTTAAAGGGACAGAGTCAAGGTTTGTAAGCCCTCAGATGGACTGAGCTTCCCTTGGGACCTGTCCCATATTCTGTACTGGCATTAAGAAACACAGTAGTTTTCTTTAAACTATCTTGCAATATTAAACATGTACAATTTTGAGCTTTGTTTAGAGGTACCTTTTACCTGCTGCAATATCTGTCCTTCCCCACCATGTAGCTTTACAGGGCAGTGGCTAAAAAGCCCTCCTTTTTGCTACCTGCATCTTATCAGCCTGCCAGCCTTTGCTAGAAGCTGATCCTTTTTTATGCAGTTTCTTAACCAAAAGTGGCTCCATTGTGCAGCTGCATCTTTGCACTGCAAGCCTCTGAGAAATGTAATTAGCCTGAGAAGGCCTATATCTTAGATACACCAGGACATCATATTCCTCTCCCTTGCACAGACCAGGATTGTGAAGTCAAGACCCATCTTCTAATGTTCACTTCATCACTAGCTGGGTTGAAAATGAAATAGGTTGCAATACACAATATTTTTCTAGCAGAAACCACTGCGCCCAGAGGTCTAGGGAAGAGTAATCACCAAAATTTTTACTAGCTGTTCCTATAAAATTCTTCACCCTTAGCCTCTGGTATATCCTGTGTTTAAACAACATCAACCCCAAGAGCTAGGTAAGTACAGCAGTGTGTGACAACAGCAGAAGAGAAACCAAAGATGTCAAATTAATCAAATAAATTCACTCAACGGTGTTGTCTATCTATCTCAGCTAATGAAGTTCATGATTTCATGGGCAAAACATGGGAATCAGCAGCCCCAAGCTCTCCTCCAGTTTGGGACCCTCGAGTCACCAAGTGACCGAGGCAAAACACAACTGAATTTTCAAATCTGGTGGCCAATTTTGAGTGCCCAAGCCAATACGTCCAGCCTCATTTTCAGAGATGCTGAATCTTTGCTGTTCCTGCATATCTTCCTAACACACAGGTGCTCAGTTCTTTTGAAAATAAGTTCCTACATAAGTTAAAAATGGCCACCCAGAAAAATAAAACAAGAAAAAAATCAAAAAATACAGCATCATGGATGACTTCTACTGATTTGAAAATACATATTTCATTTTTCCATTCATTTAACCTCTCTGGAGCTTGTAAACTGCACAATTTCACATAAATGGGGGAGCTCATTTATGTTTCCTGGTCCATGCTCCAAGTCCATTATATTAATTAACCTCCTTTGTAATATCCTTTAGAACTATAGATGATGACGACTCTGAAACTGCTAATCTTTTTCATATGTGTTATGTAAGACACATTCTCCAGTAGCTCTGAACTGACCGCATACTCAGATGCACAATCATCTTTTTGTCACAAGGATTCTGCCTGAAGCCACCCCACAGATGCACAAGGAACTTATTAGCATAAACAAGGTCTAACGATTTTGTCCAGGCAAAATTTCACTGCTGGGATCACTGGCAATTAACTTTTTTAGCAATTAATTGCCATTTTACTCATCAGAACAGGGAAGACTAAAGCTGAAATAATGTATTCCTGGCCCAAGAACACAGTGGTTCAGTGCAAGTTTTAGGGCTTAAATGAAACACATTCAAAAGGAATTCTAACAAGATCAACAGAATATGAAATGCCTCTTCATCAATTATTGTGCATAAGAATTGGCCTTTGGCTTTTATGGCTTATATGATCATACTGATTATTATTTAACTCGGGATGCAAAACTTCCAACCCGCCACTAGGTGACACTTTAAATGAAAAGTTCATATTGTAACATTTCCACGGTTACGAGCATTCCTGTCCTTCTATTGCACAGAGTTAATATAAGAAAGGCAATGTTTACAGTCTTACATAAAACTGATTTTTGTTGAGCAGTTTTTTTAATGAGAAAAGAAAATGCAGAGAAATCAAGTATGTTGGCTGAGTCAGAGGTTGGGGATGGAGTGGGCTCTAGAGAAATGAACCTTTTTAGAATCATAGAGTACCTTGGGTTGGAAGGGACCTTTAAAACTCATCTAGTCCAACCCCCAACTACTCATCTCCACTTTGCACTGCTGGGTGCAGCCACCTCGGGTGACCAGGGGGCTAGGGTGAAAGCTTCCAGTATGCTTGACAGCAGCATGAAAGGCAGAAAGGTGAAGGACTTCCCCAAACTGTCCCAGAGCTCTCACCCCCCCAAACACAGCTTCCACATACAGTTGTGGCCAAGCAAAATAGGTAGTTGATACATGAAATAGCAATTTCAAAGAACAAAACCTTTTGATAAGCTATGGAGATTCAAGCAGTGTCCACATTGAGTCTCCTCAGATACAAGCACTGTGAACCCAAATAAAGCTTCCAGCAGCCGAAATGAACATGGGAAGATGTGGGTACCTCACTGAAAACACCTTGAGGCTTTTTAGCAAAACCAAAGAGGCATGACATAACAAGAAGAGCCAATTCCTGTGTATAAAGGACTTTAAACCGTATTTTTGTAGGACTTTATAGATCAAAACCAAATATCTTTGGCACTCAGCCAGAGCAGTGAGTGATAAACAAGATAGAGAAGGAAGGGAAGGTGAGAGTGTGAGGGCAAGGACAGCAAAGCTAGACAGGGTCAGCAGTCTGATGACAAAAAGAGAGGCAAGAAGAGTAAGAGTCAGTGCAGGAGGGCGATGACCTGCGATGAGCAGTCCCTTAGCTGAGATCAGCCCAGGATCCAGGCTACAGCCACACAAAAAAGCCCAGGAACGTGATTGCACAGCCTGGGTATGCAGGAAAAAATACACAAGAGCTGCTGAAGGACGACAGGATGATCTGCTCAGTTTGTAAGAGTACCACTGAAGCCCCAACAATAGGGTCATTGAGAAGTCCTTTTTACCTGATGGAGGCAAAACACTCCAGCAAGTGATAGATTTCAAATGGCTGGCAAGCTGGCTTGGAAACAAAAAATTACAATCTGATCATAAAGGGTAGGAGAGGACACAGATGTTTGCATGGGTGCGTTACGGGGGTAGACAGGGTATAGAGGAAAAGAAGCTGTTAGCAGAGACAAGGGTCAGACTGTCCCTTCCTTGGACTTTAGGACATGTTGTCAGAGTTGCAGAAGCTTCTGCAAGTATCTTTTTTTCTTACAGATGTAAAAGCTGCATTTTGTCAAGGAGGCAATTTCTCTGGCGGAGGACTGACTGCCGAGGAGCTGCACCACCATGCCCACTGCTACCCCCTGAGACTGGGAAGACCCACAGACCAGGCTGTGCTCATGAAAGTACACCCTGCTCACCGCAGTACCTCAGAGCACCACCTGACAGCACCTTGCAGCTTGACGAACAGTCACCAATTATCTGTCTGCTCATCACCACCCTGAGGGGAATGGTATGCAGATAGTGCCTGGTGCACCAGAGGAGCACGCTGAGGACAACTTTCTCCACCAGAAAGATCCATAAAGGGGTGCCAGACCCTCAGGGATGATCATGGACAAATTAAAGTCTTTAAAATTGCAGTTTGCGGCAGCCCAACCCCTGAGGCACCGAGTGCCTTAGGCACCTATAGGTCCATCAACATTTCTGAGCACCCTACATAAGGCCTGCAGGGTTCACAGGGCTGGGAGCTGAGCGTCTGAACCGGGCCTTAATCTCACTGAGGACGACCAGCAAAGCACGTCGCATTCCTCCTCGTCTCGCCCTCCTGTAAGTGCCCTCCCAGGACAGCTACCAAACCACATCCTGCACAAAACAAAGTGTATCGGGTGCACACTTGTCTGAAACTGAGCCTACATGCTCTGCCTACCCAGAGAGAGAAGAAGAATGGCCAGCCAAGGGAGGACTTGAGTCCCAGTCTCTCTGCTTTACTCATATAAACACTTACATACTCACTGGGACAAGGACTGAAACCCTGGGGGGTAACCTGGTGAAAAAAGGAGGGCATAATGCAGTACAGGAATAAATTCTCCCACACCCCACATCAGATACAGCAGCTTCGGTGGCTAAACGCGGGCTGTGGATTTGGCAAGAGCACTGCAGGTCCTGAAGATGCCTCTGATGCCTGTGGAGGGGCCTTAGCTGAAGTGCATCCTACACACCAGTTGTGCCCACACACAAGCAAAGCAAGGTTTGTAAGTGAGGTCATGTATTTTATCAGAGCAGCTAGGTTAGCTGAAAAAAGAAGACAAGTTTTCAGTGACCCGAAGAAAGCTTTGTGTGCCTGAATGCCTGTCTC